ATAATAATTCGATCTAATATATAGAGCCTTCTAAATAATATCGCTATTACTTAAAACTCTTAATAATTATAAGTAGTTCCTAGTCGTGCGTATTATAACACGTCTCTATATCCGCTATTTTATAGGAAAAGAAAGCGACCGGGTACTATTATACCTTATCTTTTACATCTTTATACGGTTAACTAATAATTCTAGTAATTACGAATCCTAACGCGTTAGTTTCGACCCGAATATACTTCTTAGGATTAAAATACCTAAGAATCGGCGTAGTTATAAAGTAATTCTTTAACGATCGGAACGTATCTTACGCTTCCGGCGTTAACTATATCTCGACTAACTTAGCTTTACGCTATACTCGCCTACCTATAGAGATTTTACCGCTATTCTCTATAAGTTTATTAAGCGGCGCCGTAATTCGTAAGAAGCCTATAATGAATTTATAATAATAGTTTACGAAACCTATAAATGTTCTAATTTAACATATAGTAGTAGATTCTAGCCATTCTATAATGGTCTTTACACGCTCCGGCTCCATTTTTAGGCCGCTATATATTATAATAAAGCCGAGAAACCCAACTTCTTATTAGTAAAACTCGCATTTAGATAATTTTATATCGAGTTTATACTACCTTAGACGATTTAGTACCGATTTCACGTGTCCTTTATAATTCTATATACTATTAGAGTAAATTAGTATATTATTAAGATAAACTACGTAAATCACGTTAAGTAATCCTATGAGTATAGTGTTAATATATTCTTAAAACGCTTCTAGCGCATTTATTAGCCCGAATAGTATAATAGTATACTTAAAATAACTATATCTAGTCCGAAATGCGGTTTTCTACTTATCTCCGTAACGAATTCGAAGCCGGTAATATATATCTCGTAAATCTAGCTTTATAAAGTACTTTACCTTCGTTAATTAGTCTAAAGATTTACTAACTAGTAGTAATGGGTGATAATTCTTCTTAGTTACCGCATTTAGTATCTAATAGTCGATATATAGACGTAAACTTCCGTCTTTCTTCTTTACGAAGAGAATAGATACGCTAGCTAATGACGTACTATAAC